TTAACCAGTTAATGCTTTATTTTTGCATGTTTACTGCTCCTTCACCACCTACATACTAAGTATGTTTAGGGTTTTTCCTTTGCACTACCTCCTTGGAGAGGTCATGTCATACTAGGTCAGTCTGTTCTGTCCTTAATTAGATAGTTTAGTGATTTCCCAGTTATTATATGTTATAAATTTATGTTGCATGTAGCACCTTGGTCCTGGAGGAACATTGTTTCGCCTCACTGTATACAAACCGTATATGGCTGAAGTGACAATAAAGTCCAGTTGATTGATTGATTGATTGATTGATTGATTGATTGATTGATTGATTGATATTTGATCTTATAGGGTGAAATTTCTTTAAAACTGGCTGAAAATATGTTTATCTGGATATTATTTCCAGTGAAACTTCAACTAAAAATTAAAAGAAGAATTCACATATATTTTTGTAACATGATGAAGGAGCTATTCCTCAAGGTTAATTATTCACTATCCACAGTTGCCTTTGACACAGCGCCTCCTGTGGAGGATGACTGACGTCAACCCCCATTTTCTTTAAATGGAGATGCTGCTCTCTGGTGGTGGATTACGAGATTGCCTCGTTTCAAACCAGAAACATCAACTTTTTTTGTTTTAAAGAGTTTTAACTGTCTAAATATGTCTCAGACTTAGCAAAAAGTGTCCAAAAATTTTGCTAACTCCTGGCTGGCTCGCCATTATGTAACATTATTAATTCACATTTAATTAAGGACCACAAGACATTAAATTTTCATATCTAGTATGAAATCCATCTTGCGGACCACTAGTTTATGTAATCAGAAGATTGGAACTTTTTATTGCAGGGATTTAGATGACACCTTGTATTAACTGAGAGACAAGAGAAGAGAGAGAGAGAGAGACCTTCAATGTTTAAGATGGTTTAAATAGTTTAAAACAATTTATACAATACTAACTCTGCTAATGATGGATGTTCTGTTTGAATGAGGTGTGAGATGGTTGGTGTGTGTGTGAGTGAGTGTCATTCAGAACCCTCGTATCCAGAGAAACAAAGTCTGAGTGGGAGATGATGGTTTGGTCCTAACTGATCAGAGTTTGAGACTGGTAGTCATAAACACATGAGATGCCATTTTGTTGCATCCACATACCCTCAGTGAGACCTCCAACGATGGATCCAGAATGCCAGGTCCACGGACCTTCCTTTTGGTACTGGAGCCAATGGTAGAGCGTCACAGCACGACAACCCAGTCTTTGGATAGTCCTCAGGTAAAAAGCGACAGGTGGTTCACAGCGTCAAAAGGGGACCCTCCTTGGGTCAGCGAGTTAAGCTTTTCTTCTGAAAGGCACTGTTGCTTGGTTCACAAAACAGCAGATTTTTCCCAGCTTGATGGTTCTCAGCTTAAAAAGAGAAGCACAGAATGGCCGGTCCAATACTTCACTTAGCATGCGGTGAACTCCATGGGATCTTGAGAACTGAACTAAGATGACGTTGGAACTGTTTTATTAATCTGGATGTTTTTGATTCTGGTCGAATCAAAGCTGGCAGATTTATAAACACCACAGAGACTATGCCACGCTTCAGACTAGGAAGGTTCTGATTGGATCAACAACAACAATGTGTCATGTGATTGTTTTCCTTGTGTGTCAGTGTGTGTAGGGAACTAGATCAAGTCATATTACTTATTAAAACACACTAATCATAATATTGTGATTTCACAGATCGGTCACATTGTATTATTGACTAACAGTTGTTTTGATTAGCTTTACTGAAAATAGAGTTCTTTGATTTAATAAAAGAAAAGAGTCTCTTCATCTTCTGTCTTCTGTTTGCTGGAAAGTAAACAGTTTAGAGGCAATATGCATGACCATGAGGCTGTTTCATGCACTCTGGCGCTGTGTCAAAAGCAACTATGGATACAGGATAAATAACCTTGAGGAATAGCTCCTTCATCACGTTACATATTTTAATGTTTGTGGTCTACTGTAATACGTTTTGCTTGACCTGGTGAACATTTTATTCTACAGCAGAAACAGACATCACAAGCATCAATAGACTCATGATGCCAGTCATACATTAAATAAATAAAATCACAGCTGGGAGACATTTTCTAAATATTAGTCAGCTCTAACCAAGTTTTGATTTCCTTTAGGAAGAAATTTAGCAAGAAAACAATGTGAAAACAAAAAATGGCCTAAAGTCAAGTAAAAAAAGGAGTAGGCATTGGTATTGAAAGTCCACACACTGAATTTGGGCAGTGGTTTTTTTCAGAAGACTTTCAGTACACACTTGTCTATAGTTGTTCTTGTATAAGATAGACATATTTGATTTCCAGCATGCATCAAATATTTACTCATTAAATACTCAAAAGGAATTTGTACATTATGTTACAAGCTTTGACTGATCTTTCATGTTACAGCAGCTGTAATGTGAAAGTTAAAAGTCTAACAGGCTTTTCTACTTGTATTTCAATGGCGCACAACGATGCTTAAAAACGACCTTGAATTTGTCGTTGTATAAAAATAAAAACTGGACAACAGCAAATGAGAATAAAAGATTTATAAGAAAATGTGTGAAGTAACGCATAATAAGACATATCAGATTGGAAGAAATGCAGAATACCGGTATTACCAGAAACTATTTACTGGTGGCATTTGGTGAAAAACATAGGTTGTGGGGCCATCTGTAAGATGATTACCCTTCTTAGTTCATTATACGTATTCAAATGAACAGTTGGGAAATCACTACAGTTACGAAACAATCACATATGTCCCTTCTCTAAATAGGCAGTTTTACAGATAGTCTATTATCTGTAGTAATCGGAACGTAATAATACTCAAATATCTACAGGGTTCTATCCATAGTCATATATAATGGGTACTAGCCATAAATATATTTAATAGGTTCTATCCATATATATGCACAGTGGCGCATTTGTTAGCACTGTTGCCTCGCAGCACGAAACTCGGCTGTGCCCTTTCTGCGTGGAGTTGCGTGTTCTCCCCATGCATGCGTGAGTTTCCTCCGGGTACTCCGGTTTCCCCCACAGATCCCTACATTATAAAATGTAAGTCGCTTTGGATAAAAGCATCTGCCAAATAAATAAACATAACATAAACATATATATAGTTCTATCCATAGACAAACATGATAGGTTTTATCTAACAAAAACATTTCCACCCATGTTTGTTGCTGCAGAAATACAGTATGGCATGAAACTACGATTTTTGCTTGACATTATAACTTCTCTCATCTTCTAAGTGGCTATTCCTGTTTCTCAGTACATGCAGTCAGCTTTAACTCTCCCTGAGTCAGAGCAGGTTTTATAGGTTATACATTTTTATTTAAAGTACTTTTGAGCTCCATATCTATTCTGTTGGCTGATGTCTAAATATTTTCAGCACGTTTGAAAGACAACAAACCTCAGTCCTTACTGCTTTTATATGTTACATGTATTTTTGTATTCTATTGCAGTTTATTATTTATTTATTTATTTATTGCACCATCTAAGATTGTTCAGCTACTGCACCTGTAATACTTGAGTGTTGTCATATAAATACTGTATGGTCAATGCATGAAAGCTGTCATCTTTTCGGACATTTTTACAATTTCTTTAATTGTTTTTATATCACTAAACAACTCAACATTACAGTATTTGATCCTATGACTTAAAAAAGGCATATTGCTCTAAAATAATGGTAATTTCATTTCCTTTTACTCTGAATCAAAAGAGCTTAGAAATGTGGATGAGCTGAACTCTCTGCTGTTAATTTCTTTGCAATGCTTCAGTTGATTTGGTCTGTAAAACTACCTTCATTAAAATGATTCTCAGTGGACCCCTTGGTGCTTATCCTTGTGGTTAAACATTGCCACCAATGACACAAGATTAATGAAGTGTTGAACACATGGCAGCAGATTTAATAACACACATAATTGTTTAAAACTGATTAATATGTTGCCTGAAACATTCAGAAACTTAGAACTGTTTCTAGCTAAATGAAATGGGATTTTATTTGATCATTAATCTAATAATAAACAAAGGAAAACTCTGAGTCGCTATACCAGTGATGTTTAAAACTGTTTCAGTTGATTAATTATTGTTTAATACACATGCATTTAGATATTTCTCTATTTGTAAACAAGCCAGAGATGGATGAGGAAGGGTTTGTGTATAGTCTTCTGGATATACAAATGTTATGTGGCCTGCTGTAAAAAAAAATTGAAATAAACGTGTTGTAGCTGTTCAAAGTAAAAGCAGATAAGTTTATTAGTATCATGGTTTGTTTTAGTTGCAGTTATGAACGTTCTTTTACTTTCAGTGACTGTGTGCTAGTGTGTTTGCACCTGGGTGGGGCACACGTCACCAAACGTGGTGCTTAGCTTAATACTGCCATATCATGGTCATTGCATGAACTGCATCACAAGACCAACTTTTCAACTTTTAAATTCTAAAACAAATATGAATGATCAGACATTAGCTAATTACTGTATTAGATAAATAATGGTTATTTAGAGCTCAGCTTGTATGTTTGGGTTTGGTTTAGGGTTAGGCAGCTATAATCACTCACAGGTTTCAGGTTCTCAGTTGTGTGTAATAAATAGTGCTGATGAACTTGTAATTTACAAATGACTGCAACGCTTTGAGAGCGCATAGTGCATGTACTTGTGTGAGTGTGGTGAAACGGAATATTCTTAAATTATTTATTTCACTGGTTATTATTTTTAACTGAATTATAATAATTATGATGATGATGCTAATAATAATAATTATTATTATTATTATCATTATTATTATTATTGTTGTTGTTGTTGTTTTTATTATTATTATAAAAACAACTCAGATACTTTTAAATGTATGAAATATACCAAAGAAAATGTCACTTTTGAATTTGATGATGTGACTGGCTCTATCGCTTTTACACAATGGTGGTCTACGTGTTTCTGTATATTCCTACTTGAAGGGCTTGAAAAGTCGTATGACTACGTCATGCCTGGCTTAACCAATGGGCTTGACCAGCGAACACCACCCCATCGGTATGCGCACGCGCGAAGGACCACGTCCTAGAAGGAGCTGCTAGACTTCGACACAATGGCTCGTGTAGATCTCGACGTTAAATACATTAAATGGCAGACGTCTTTGGTAATTAAGTGTTTACTGGATGACGATGATAAAGTGGGGAGTCGTGAGTTCTCCAGTCTGGAACATGACGGTCCTTCAGGTGAATTTATTTTCACTCCCATAAATAGTGCTTAGTCTTCGGTACATTTGCAGTTTCCCTGTTATATTATTGACTTATTTATTATAATGCCTTTAATTGTGAGGAAATTCTTTATTCGTGTTACGACAGGAATGGCTCTTCATTCAGTTTCGTTTCTGTTTGAGACCAGCCCTTACAGAACACCTGTAATACTCTCGCTTCACTTCTTCCTTCAGATGATCAGTTTGATCCCGTTTTGGTTGCTGATAAACTGAGAACCATCGCGGATGCCATGACTGAAGACCCCAGGTTGCAGGTTGTTCTGAAGGAGCTGAAGCAGGCAGCAGCACAGGAGGTATCAGACTAGAAACATGAAACTGAGACTGAAGAGATGTTTATGGACCTGTTGGTGTAAACATTGGCTTACCATAGATCTCTTTCAAACCCTCGTGATCAACAGTAAGCATATAAACCAAGGAAATAGAAGATCAGAGTCTGAGTGCAGCAACCTTTAAACTGTGTTAAAGGGAGCATTTATGGCTGAAGTGTCATCAAATGTTCTGACATGACTTTAGTGGAACCAAATTAAAGCTCTCAGCTAATGGAGAGTGTTTATAGTATGTGTCACTTTTACAGATATTCTAGTATATGCCATATAGTTGAAGTGCAGATTTCAACTTAAAAAAACTAATTTGTCAACTAAACTACAGCCCTGCTTTAATAATACGGATTTAAGGTGGAATATGCCCTTAAGGGGGTCTTGGAGGGTGCGTGGGAGTTCACCCAACCAATCTACATGTGTTTTGTGTATTTGGAGAAGTCGTTTGACCGCGTCCCTCGGGAGGCCCCGTGGGGAGTGCTTTGGGAGTTTGGGGTACCAGGCCCTTTGATACAGGCTGTTGGGTTTCTGTATGACTGTCGGAGCTCGGTCCGTATTCCTGGCAATTTATACTTCTCCTTCAGCTCCACGAGGGAGAGACATGCACGGACGAAGATGTGTTGCTCTCGGACTTTTCTGTCTCCTAGGGAGTGTTGCAAAGCAGTTCCCCGCCAGGACAACAGAGAGATTCGTCAAGCTGCTCCGTGTCTGCCTCTAGATATCCTCAGTTCTCGTTATGCTTATGAGGGCGCAATGGTGGCGCTGTAGACGACTGCAGCGTCCTGACCAATCACAAGCTTGCGTTCTCTGTCTCATGAGACGATGTTTAGAAAAGAAAGCTCGACTTTGTCTGTCCTTGCGAGGGCTCTCCAGCAGGACAAAAAATGGCATTGCGTGTCTCCGTCCCGATGCAGACGGAGAAGTATAAATTAGACTTTGTCATCGGTTCAGTTCATAACACTTATGGACAGGATTTCTAGGTGCAGCCAAGGTGTTGAGGGGATCCGGAACCGTATAACAATTTGGCTTGCTAGCTAGTATAATTGTGATAAAGTTGGTGGGAAAGTTTTAGCCTTCTTGGGTTATTACTAACTTTAAAATCCCAGCAGCTCAGCCACACCAGCAATTCATACAAACCCCTCAAACAACAAGTCAAAATGTCCAGATCCAACTTGGACCTCCTCACTCACCCTGCCCTCCCAAACCCCCACCACTACAACACACATGCACACACTTGCGTCAGGCAACAAAGTGACAGACAGCTCTGCCAGGCAACAGAAGACGAGCTGTGTTACCAGACAACAACCCTGTCACCTAAACATTTCCCTACAGGAACAGAACCAGACTCTAAACAAAACATGAAAAAGATCTTCTTAAACGAAATTTGCAAACAGAACGAAACATTCCATCCATGACACGAGGCAATCCGGTTATGGCTTCACTTCACTGCCAAGAAAGTGTGAATCGTGCACATAAGAGTGGTATGCCAGGGGGAGGGACAGTAAGAGGACAGTTTTATGGATGGACCAGGATCCACTCATTAACGCAACGTTCAGAATTGCCCCATTTCACTGTCAAAGCTTCTGCGTGATTTTACTGGACCTGTGTGGCATGAGTGTGTTGCCTTTTCACCGGTTGGCCCAAAAGGACCACTTTTCCAGGAACCAACTGAACTGTATGTACTGGGAAGTGACCCAGTAAAGTTGTTGGGTTGGACTTGTGGTTAACTCATGCTGATTGGTTGTAACCCAGTAGGAAATGACATCAGCAGACATCCATATCTAGTGAAGCAGAATGGAAGGAAGAAAAAGTAAACAGCATTCACACTGATTTAAAATCACTGTTTCTCAACACCTAAATGTGGCAGAAATCCCCCAACAACACCATCATTACTTTGTGGTCTCGCATTGCACCAAAACAAAACAGAAATTCTGTTGGTCACTGAAAGCAGCTTTTCACAGCTTTCCTGGCTCCCTGAATGGAATAAATGACGACATACTTTGACAGAGTCAAACTTAATGGTTTTGGCATCTGTTGACTCCTTTTGGAGCTGATCAGTGAACTCACCCACTCTCCAAAGCAGTCACAATATGCTGACGTCTTAGCAAAGTCTTGAAAGGGACAGTTTTGGATGGAGACACGACGCCTGAGAGGACAGCCAGCATGTTTTCATGGTCACTCCCCCCCCCAGAAACAAGCTCCTGATTGGAGGGGATTTTTCCAGGATTGTACGTGTTAAGAGAAAATTGAAAATTGCCATAGGTATGTGCAAGCATTATGGCAAAACATGCTCCAGAAAAATATCTACTACTATTTAACTAATGATAAAAAATACTTTACTCAGTTGATAGAAAATAAAAATTTCCATCAGTTTTGGTTGAACTCATGAGGTACTAATGTAAAGGACAGAAATGACTCTCCTGCCCATCTCCCCTTGCTATGTATTAAATATAGGTTGTGGATCAAGCCGTCAGCAAAGGTGTGGAGACTCTGTGTCAGGCTCACGCCTCTAAAGGGGCTGAAGTGGCTCCAGAGATGCAGCTGATCAAAGCCTCGGTAGCGTTTGGACTCTATGTGAAGAAATCTGCCCCAGAGCTTAAGGCTCAGGTCCAGTCTGCGTTGACCAACTTCCTCACCAGGCGTGTGGGTTCATGGGTCGCTCAGCAGGGTGGATGGGTGAGTAAAGGTTTATTATTTTAAGATGCCAAACATCACATTTAAAACCAAAATGAGTTGTTATTCCAAACCCAGTGTTACCTGAAGCCAGCAATACATTTAAATGCACTTTTAATGTCTTTACAGGTTTACTAGCAGTGTGTATTTCACAATATGGTTGAGCATTGCCATAACTTTATTTTACAACTACATAATTGGGAAAACAAAATACTTTTAAATTGTCATTTTAAACCCTCGTTGAGGTTCTTTTCAGACGTTTCTAAACATCTCATGGTTTGTTCGTTTGCAACCCTCTTCCTGTTAATGAGAAATATAATTTACTAAGTTCCTATTTGTCAGATGTCTGAAGTCAGTCAGCTGTCTCCACACGCTGCCCAATGAAGACTGATCAGACTCGTTTGAAACGGCAACTAGATCTTGTTGGCAAATAGCAGAGAAACCTGTTGTAGGAAAGCACACTGGATCGTGTGTGTGTGTGTGTGTGCGCGTGTGTGTGTGTGGGGGTGGTTTTAAATATAGAAATGTAACAAAAATACAGTTTTCATTTGAACTTTTCCCCCACTGTTAATAATGTCATGTTTGTTTTTATTTTTTATTCATTTGAAAATTCATGCAGCTAAAATAAGATCTGTTTGTGTGTGTGTGTGTGTGTGTGTGTGTGTGTGTGTGTGTGTGTGTGTGTGTGTGTGTGTGTGTGTGTGTGTGTGTGTGTGTGTGTGTGTGTGTGTGTGTGTGTGTGTGTGTGTGTGTGTGTGTGTGTGTGTGACTGACTGTTTTACTTTTTTCTGTTTTTCAGGATAAGGTGCAAGACGCCTCATCAAAATAGTTCCTCATAACTGAAGCCTACTTCCCTCTTTCCTATTCACTCTCTCTTTCTTAAAATTTTTTTAATCACAATTGTCTATTTTTTGCTCATTTAAAATATATTTGTAACCATTTTCTAAATTCTTTTTAATATTTTTACATTTTTTTTGTTTTTGTGAAGCGCCTCATGATTTTTATCTTGAGAGGTGCTATAGAAATGATATTTTCTTCTTCTTCTACTGCCTCTTACCTGCAGCATTAAAGGATTTGTTGTGTGTGGAATGTGTAGAAACAATAATTATGCCATCTGTTGTTGATGCAACAAGTTGAACAAACTCAGATTCTAGAAACAGAGCTTGGTTCTGACCAGACTGGCGAGCTGACAGCTTGTCTGAGCAGGTGATTGTTCTCCTTAAACTAAATAATAATCAAGTAACATTTATGCTGGGGCCAGCTTTGCATTGTATGGTTTTTACATGGAAGTCTGTGGTAATTTGCATTAAATACAGGATAATTCTGCAGTTTGTTACCAGTAACAATGACTCAGGTTAATCATGTGAAAAAGGACATTTGGTGCCAGCTCACAGAGGAAACTAGCGTAGAGATAAAGACAAACACAGATGTGGTCATGTCATTTGAACTTTTCATCCTTATAGTTTTGCTAACATTCAGCTGAACGCTGTGTTCTGGTGTTTAGCGTATTTTAATAGAGACGATCCTGGACCTTTACATTAACAACCATCAGAAGTATAAATGTTTATAAAACATAGTTTGCATGAACTGCTGCAAGTACCGGTACTTAAAGGAGGAATATGTAAGAATTTTACAGTGAAAGAATCACATCTCACTTCATTACAAATTGCACCTTTAAAACAGAGTTGTTTTAGATGATGATCATGATCGTTATTTTCCAGTCAGAGTCCACCTTATATTTCTCTAAATATCATTCAAAGAGCCTAGCATTGTATCTACAACAAATGATAATTGGTTGTAACCTTTCCAGGAAACATCAACTGTAAAATTCTCCAAATGTTTTCTTTTAAAGAGCCACACAAACACACGTCAAAGTCTCGCTCTGTCAGATGTGCATTCAGGGTTTTGCTCTCTCACCAGCACAGATAGAAATGCACTAAAATAAAGCTTTCACATTCCCTCACACACACATAATGCTCAGGTTCATCTATAATGTTATCATGAGCTCTTACTACTACATGAGCTGCTGGGGTTTTAGAACAATCTAGAGTGTTTGTGACTAACGCAGCCTTTAATCCCTGCATGTATTTATTGAACGATGTGTAATTCCATCTGGCTCATCTGTATGAGTTGTATGAAAAATGTTTTCAAGTGAATGTATCTGCTTTCTTGTTATAGGAAGTTAATTTATAAGGGTTTTGTCTTTATGTATAAGAACAATGGGAAATTGCTTACATAATTTATTGTGTTCTTACTTTTGCATGAATTTGATTCTAAAACAAAGGTTTGAATAAAACTTAAGTGTAGGTGATTTTCTCACCTTTTATAGCATTCTAGCACTTAGGAACATTTGGGTTTTCTAATAGAAATCAAGCTTGATTTTAAATCACATGCTGTTGTTTACAATGAGGAAAATGTAAATGATATATGTTTGTTGTTGGTGATCGGTGAGTGTGTGCGCACGCATGTGTGTGTGTGTGCGTCTTGGCTTTAAACATACGGTGCACTTCTGCATGTTCCTTCCAAAGGATTTTCGCAGGTAAGAGCCAAATACAGCTAATGTTGTAGGAGCTTTTAGGGAGTTTTTGCACATTGTTGTGAAATAAATATTCATGTTTTTGGGGTTTTTTGTAATTTTATAATGACAATGACATTAAAAATATTGACTTGAACCCTGGTTGTTTGTTAGTTTTTGAACTTTGTGAAGCTGGAGATGTTTTCAGAAAACAACAAAGGGTGAAATGCACATGTGAAACATGTAAATAAACAGTTAAATGGAATATTAAACTAAATAATTTGTTTATTTAATTGGGTGGCCTACAAATGACTCACATCTAATGACCACCAGGGGGCAGCAGTGGACATGAGATGATTAGTCAAGGATAGAGGGGTATTTAAATAAACAAACCCTGAACTAGTACCATTGCATCTGCATTTTTTCTTGTACAAACGAAAGTGTTTACATTTTTTATTGCCTTTTCTTGATTCATTTCTTGTTTTTATGATCTCACAACCTGCTGTTATTCACACGGACATGTGATGGCAGCTGGCTGTAGATTCCCGCCTCAGTGAGGCAGGTGGGAGAGTCCAGTGAGAGATTAAAAACAAGAAATCTTTACAGACAGTTCTTCTTCACACCTGCACCTCTGCAGGATAATTTAATTTATGGTTCATAAATAGGCTTGTCTTCAATGTTTGGACCCAAATGAACCTAATGCATTCTTTGCCTTGCAGATAAATTGTTAGTAACACCTCCACAGACTGCTACCTAGCACATGTTAGAACTCCTCACAAACCCTGTGGGACCATATGGGGGAATGCTGGAGTCATGAGAGAAACAAAAACACTTCTGGGTAGAGATTCAAATGCAGGAGGGCTTTCAGGGGCACCAGAGGGAACTTGGAATACAGTTCTTGGAATTTATAATAGGGACATTTCCAATACACACCATGAATACCATTCAGCTTTCTAACAGGGCGTCCTGTTGAAAGAGTTCAAACAAAACTAATTGGGTTGCATTACATAATACAGCAAAGACTCTGTTCACGCTTTGTAAACATACAAATTGAATGCTGTCCACTTTTTTCCCTTCAGAAAGACTAATGTTAGCTTGTTAGTGCTTTACACTACCCAAGTGGTGACCAAAGTGCTTCACATTTAAAATGAAGTCTAACTTTTAAAAACCACATTAAAACAGCAATAAAACTATAACATTTAAGTGCTAAAATCAAGAGCAGAACACTGAATACACATTTCAACACTCCGGAGTATTTAAAAGCTCTGCAAAAGACGCGTGAAGATTTAAACAGTAGTCGTCATGCTTAGGTCAAGTTTGGTTGCACAGCTTTGGAGCTGCCAGCGAGGATGAGCGATCACCTTAATGCCTGTATTTAAATCTTGGAACATGTCAATAGAATTGAGCAGAAGATCTTGTTTCTCTACCATGTTTTTGTAATGAGAGGTTGTCAGAGAGATACGGATGAGATCATCTACACCTTTAAAAGCAAACAGAATCTTGAACTCAGTCCTACATTTTACATGGAGTCAATAAAGTGATGAGAGAACCGGGATGGTGTGTGGCCGCCCAGGGGTGTTAGTAGCAGCTGTGTTGCAGTGGTGGGGATTTCTCTATAAAATCAAACCAGTAGGCTGGAAATCAGTTGACTGTGTGACATTACGTGTAGCATGTTGAGTATCATCCACATTACCTGCTGAATTTAGTTAATAAATAAAAATGACACGTGAATCTAAACTCTGGTGCAGGGCGAGAACGACCGTTCCTCTGGTGACTAAAAAATAATTCTTTATTTTTACATCTTTATTTAAAAAAATGCAGTCAAATTCTAAACAGTCTAACATCATCCATCTGAAGTCTTCATAACGAAAGCAACACGTTATCAGAACTGTACTGGAATCATTTCCATATTCAGCAGAGACTTTCTGTCTAGACTCCATCTACTGCTCCTTGTCTGCTAACATCCCTCCAATGATATGCGTTGGTGAAAACTTCTCACAAACTCGTTATAAAAGCGTCTGTGGTGCTTTCTGAAGGTTCCCAGGCCCCTTTAATGATTGGGGTGAAACAGTCTGCATGTTTTGTGTCACTTTTGTGATTTTGTTCTCATCAGTTTTCACTCAGTAAGGATGGCTTAGCAAAGAAAGGCTAAATATTCCATTTACATAATATCCTTTTCAAAAAATGTGCAGACCTGTCAGCTTCATTGTGTCTTACAAAGGTTTCAACAACATTATTTTGGAGTTTTTGTTCATTTTTATGGTCAAAATATTAAAAATTTATATAACGTATTTTATTTATTCTGCTAGATTCTTCCCTTAATTATAATTCCTTTAGTTGCACTGCCTACCAACCTGGTAAACAGCGTTGACTTGTACACATGTTGCTTTCTTCTTTGGCGCGGACACCATAATTATGCGCTATTTGAGCTGACCAAGAGACAGTATTGTTGAGCAGACTGCTCAGACTGAGCAGACCGAAAGCAAAGATCTGTTGGACTGACAGGCAGGATCACCCAGAAGGACACGGTGGATGATAGGTTGGACAGTGCACTGACTGAAAGGACATGCATGAGCTGTGTTGAGACTCTGAACTCCTCTAGGAAAGAGCAAGTGAATAGCAAATGAGGGATTCTGCAGCAGTCAGCCGAGAAACGCACTGTGCAAGTGAAATAGAAGTGTTGTAAGAAAACGGATGCTGGAAATGGGAATGAATGGGTATCTGCTGACTGTGGTGCAAAAAATGGAGGTATGTTATACTGGTGCAAGAGCTCAGAATGACCAGGTGTTGAATGGGAGCATGCAAACTTGACAGGACTGCAGATTTTAAACTGTGGCTAAAAGTTCCGAGAATGACAACAACAACAACAAAAAAAACACATAAGTAGCCAATTTTATTATTAGTGTCATTCTCAAAACCGGTGGCCATAAATGTAGCAAAGCTTTGATGTTTGAATTTTCTTGGACAGCAACTGAGACAGTTCCATGGGGATGAGTTTAGATCAGCTGACTCTGGATCAGGCTTTAGCTTGGTTCTGCAAACGCAGCATAAAAACAAATAAATGATGCAGAAATAACAGACAGGGAGCTGAAAAGACTCAGGTGAGTATTAGGGTATTAACAAATCAGTTTTTGGACTAAAAGAAGAGTCCATGTCCATCTAGATATGGGTCAGAGTTTGTTTTACAAATCATCTTAAATTTATGGGTTAGCAGAAATAAGACTATTTTAATGAGAATTTATTATGTAACAATGTTAAAGGCAAAACACAGTAATGTTACTTTTAAATGGTGTAATTTACCAAACACCTGCTTTAACCACTGATTCATTTTATGTAAATGAAGAAACTTGGAATAATGCATCTAATTAGAATAATAGAAGCAGTTCTGCCACTCGTCTCATTCAAAGGAAAAATATTAGATTTTCATGAAACTTCAAACAACATGTAAAAACATTGATTGTATAATTTTGTTGTGACTTGATACACAACTGTGGTGCTCAGGATCTTACATTTACAGCAGCAAAAGGCTCACGGGGAGAAATGTTGGGAGTAAAATCAATGCAATGATGCAAGCTGTGCCACGTGACAATAATAACAAGAAGCTGTGTTTTCATTTACTTTTAATAGTTTTTTTTATAAAAGTTTAAAGACCCCATATTGTGTTTCTCACAAACAGCTAGAAAAACCATCACAGCAACAAGTGTGTACATTCACATTATTTATTACATTTTTCTTGTGGGAACATTGCCGTTTTTAAAACAGACGTTGATACACTCCCGCTACTTCCTTTGTTTCACAGTTTCTGACTTCCTGATTGCTCAGAATTTAGTGCTCTTAAGGATCCTGCTGATCTGTGATGCAGATTCGTGAGTCAGGATTTGTTTAATGACCTTCTAAGACGTTCCACAGGAAGCTAAAATTAAAGAGATGGTGAATTTTATTTAGATGTGTGTGTCTGTGTGTGTGTGTGTGTGTGTGTGTGTGTGTGTGTGTGTGTGTGTGTGTGTGTGTGTGTGTGTGTGTGTGTGTGTGTGTGTGTGTGTGTGCGCACTGTACAGTTCACACCTGCAACCTGATAGAAAATACAACATGTAGAGCTTTAATTTAAGGCGGCTTCAATGCTTTTAAAATTGTAAACTTTTGAGATCCGTTCAACCACCAAGATATTCACCAATTTTGTAAAAAAAAAAATTTTAAAAGACAAACCAACAAGATAACATAACATCTGGTTTCCTCAGCAGAGCTTTACAAAAAAAAATCATGGAAAATAAACGTTTAATACAAATTTAAATGAGTGCAAACAGCAACGTTTTTGCCCAGTACAAAAACCAGAGGTGCAAAAAGATCAAATTGTTGAGTCTTTGTTGAAACAACAGCTGTAAGCATCCACTGTGCACAGCTGTTCTCTCACTGAGGTTAAAGTCTTAATATTACCCCATCAATACCTAATATTAATCATAATGTTCATGTCAGAAGCATGTCTTATTACAATGCATCATCTAAAAAAGTTTAATCTCTTTTATGAGAAAAATAAATGAAGAAATTTGCTCTTTTTTAATGGTGGATCTTTCAAATAATAACAATTTAAAGTGACTGTGTGGATTTTCCCTGGCGATAGGGGGCAGTACATACCTAAATCATTGTAAATCCGTGTTATTTTTGTGTTCGAGTAAGACCTTACCGACGGATGCCCATTAGGGTCAAAAATCACTGGGAGAGCAACCTCCACCAAAAATAAAACAAGCACATCAACCTTTCATCACTGACAATAATTTAAGAGATAAATGTGGAAAACAACAATGTTTATGAATGGTGAAAGTTTTGTAGCCGCTTGTTACAAATCAGTAAATGTATTTTGTCCTCACGGATTCACATAGAAGGAAACATAGCGTCTAATATGGTGTCACCCAGAGACTTAGACCCACTTCCAGGTATTTTAGACCTGATTTTATGATTATATGTTACAAAGCCGCCAATATTTTTCAACAACCGGGCATCATTTAATTCATTTTACCAACATTTTGATGGGTTTTTCAGGAGATTAACGGTAAAAACTATGCATCGTCTCTCTAATAATAACGTTTAATTAAATTATGCAATAAAAAAGCACCAGCATCTTTTAGATTCACTGATTTCTGTTCAATAGCCCGTCTGACCACAGTTTAACATCTACCGGATCTCTATGTTGTTTTTCTGCCCATTTCCTGATTTTACAGACTTTTGAATAAAAGAAAAACGTTTTGTTTTTTTAGTGTTTGCAGGACAGATTAGTGTGTATTAGTCATTCTGTCAGTCCAATGGACTCAGATTCATAAAAAACACAACCTTCATATTTGGAAATGGACCAAGCATCCATAACGTCTTCATGAGTCTCTGATTAGTAAGTCAGAGGTTTGATTAAAGATCCTGATTTGAATATTTCACACATGATGTTGGACCCTGTTGACACACCGAGCTGGCAGTTCCTCCTCTCTCCTTCCGTTTTAACCTCCATTCCTTCTCTCCTTAAGGCCACAGAAACAAGAGTCCTCATGTAGCACATTCTGTTTGTAGATAAATATTTACGGTAAGTTGAAGGCTGTTGATTTTAATAAATGCCAACAACATACTACTGTTGGACCCACCTGCTACAAATGTCCACTTACGTATTTAAGTCCATCGGGTTGGATTGCCTTGAAAGAGACAAATGCTCCGCTCTTGTGAAGCATCTCTATGAACTTGTTCGCCAAAGAGAAGTTGAATTCTGAATCGAAGTCTGACTGTAATTCAGTGAAATTCCTTCTCTCCATCATTGATGTCCTGATCCGGAACCCCTCATGCTAAAAGTCCACTTAAAAATGTCCATAAGACCGCAGTACAGTCAGTCACCGAAGGTCACACATCATCGTCGTCGTCATCGTTCTGTCTTAGCCTCGTATCGTTAATACGTCCTCTCTGACTCCCTCTCTGTGGGAGTCGACCAATCGCATCCTGACAAAGCATGTACTGTTTCCAGATCTTCCGGAAGGCCGTGCGGAATTTCTTGATCCGGAAGGCGTAAACAATGGGGTTGACAGCTGAGTTGGCATGCGAGAGAATGATGGCAATGTAAGTGATGTACAGTGGCGTGTTGCAGTCTGGGCAGAAGAGCGTGATGCAGTTGTGGATGTGAAGAGGGAGCCAGCTGACCGCGAAGAGGAAAAGAACCAGGGCCAGAGACTTGGCTAGTTTCAGCTCCTTCCCAAAGTAGCGTCTCGGATCTGTGTGGTTTGCTGTCACCTGTGAAGACGTTTTGAAAGACCATCAGTGTGCTCATTCACCCGTTTGAACTTTCTAAATCTTAGAAAAGGAACAGGAAGGGCTCACCTTTTTGTTGAGCTGCTTGTGGATCATGTAGAAAATCTCCAGATAGATGGCCAGCATGAGCACCAGAGGGGGCAGCACCCAGCCAAAGAAGTTGAAGTAGACCATGTATTTCATGCTGATGACCGTCTCAAACTTACAGATCACCATGGAGTTGTCAGTGATCAAGGTGCCGTTGTTGCGGAGGTTCTGCAGGTTATTCCAGCCCAGCATCGGCGTGAGGCCCACAATGATGGACACCAACCAGCACAATAACACTGCTGTCCCAGCTCGCCGAGGGGTCACCACTTGCTTGTAACTATGGCAACATGGGAGAAGATGAGGCATTGAGAAGAAAATCTCTACTGACAGACTCAGTATGAGAGTGCAGGGTTAAAGTTTCACTATTTCTTATCTGGGAAGACAAGATTGTTATCAGAGCCATTTGTGCAGCGCTCTGTCCACTTACAGGACAGCCTGGGCTTTCAATAGATCTGCTTTTGGGATTTTAAGAAACTAGCTAAAGGACCTCATATAAGAAAAGAGAGGTTCATTGAATAACAATCTCCAAAAAAGTTGCAGTGTTGTGAAACGATGACCAGAGGAGGCTAAAAGTGAACCTATGAAAGCCCAAAGGTGATTAAAACCCACACTGTTCCTTCAGTAAGGCACGCTTCTGGCAGCTTAATCCTGTAGGGATTTTCTCAGCCTTCCTGAGAAATGAGACTGGGAGGCAGCTTCATGGAAATACATGTCAGTGACCCTGACCATGCTGCTAAAGCTTTACTTGAGTGGAGGCATTAACATGTCCTGCAACAACCTGGTTAAGGTAAAATCAAGGTCAAGGTCAAAGCTGGTTTCAGCTCAGGTTCCTTTCATTTGTCTTCTCTTCAACTGCAAACAGACAAAGTCATGGTAGAAAATGTGATCAACGTGTGCTTTCTAATTTCCTTTTTTGGTAGGAAAACTATTTGCTGTCAAACTGAGACAGCACAGCTTATTTATGGAAATGAGGTTTTATGATTACTGTCTTTCGTTTATTTTATTTTCTGTTTCAGATAAAGACAGAAAAATACTTGTTTTATTCAGTGCAAATGCCAAATTGTCCTAAACCATTCATAAGAAAATATTCTATTTCTAAAGATGTTTGTGATACCATGTTTTATTTTAATGATGTTTCAGGCCGGGGTCGAGTGTATTGGTTTGGTTCTATTTCTTTCAAACATTCCAACCTTGTGATTTCTAAGAAAGAAAAAATCTCTAAACTTTGATTGAACCAGCCTCCTGCTCACGCCCAGCCACATTCTGGTACGGACATGAACAGGAATGAAGGAAACTAAACAAACTCCGATGTGAACTGGCTTTTTGTCATGAGGACTTTGGGCCAGATTAAAACCCTCCTTTGATAATTTTTGAAGGAAAATAACACCAAAGCAGAATCTGAATTGCAGATCACCAACCCTCCCTTTCAGCAGCCATTCCTTCACCATAAAGCTCCAATCACTCATAGATGTTTCCACTGTGACCTCACCATCTTGCGTTCTGAGAAGATCTGGTGTAGATTTTTGGGCAAAACCCACTTAAAGCCAATTAAAATGACTAAGAATCAGAAAACACGATGAGGTATTTAAATGCTTCATTATTACTGTGACAACAAAATTATAAGTGTGTTTTATCAGCAGAAGACAAATGTTTATAAGATGTCTGCATGTTTGTGTGGGTCTTTGACCCAGAGCTGTTTACTCCCAGTGATGGTTTAATAGGGTTGAGTCAGACAAAAGAATTAAATAAAGATTAAAGAGATCTTAGCTCAACCAGGACTCTTCATGTACGACGTCATCGTTGTCTTTTCTCATCTTGACTTGTGGAATGTAGCCGCTGCAGCTGCTGGTAAAGCCTTCGCTTTCTGCCTGCATACAGATCAGGTCTGCCAAAATGTGCTCCCTGGATGTCTGTCCATCCCTGCCTCTGACAGGGATCTCAATCCTCATATCTCCCACCTCCAAACCCGTTCCAAGCCCACCCTGATGTGGAATGGGGAAAGTTTTAAATCTCAGTGTTCTTATTGTTAAACCTCATCTCTGAACAAGGTCACCGGTGTCCCTCTAGAGGGGAGGGTGCGGGGGAGGGGGAGGATTGATTTCTAACTCGAATTACCAGGAGACAGTAAAATGCAATATACTCATGTCTGAAATCTAAACATGCCTGGATGTTGGTAAATCAATCTTCTATGAACAGTCGTTAGCAAACTTAATTTTACAAATGTAGAAATGCCAACTGATGATTGCTGTACATCATCATGAAACAAAAGGGCGGAAATACTGCAGCATCCATGCAGCAGACAATAAGATTAGAAATGCTTCTCGAGCAATGTCACTGTAACCTGACTGTGTGTGTGTGTGTGTGTGTGTGTGTGTGTGTGTGTGTGTGTGTGTGTGTGTGTGTGTGTGTGTGTGTGTGTGTGTGTGTGTGTGTGTGTGTGTGTGTGTGTGTGTGTGTGTTGGTTTCCCATCCCAACAAATTATGCAACCCGTGAAGCAGCCACCATGAGCCTATTGACCAATCATCCCTCACAGACTCCTACAGTCTGATTCAAAGGGCTCAACTTGAAGTTCCCAGAATTGTCATGAAAATTTATATAAAGAATATATTACAGTAAAAGAATGGAAATGCACATGACTTCAGTGTCTCCTCTGCTCAGAAGGGAAGTATGGAGACTTTGAAAATTTGAGGGGGTCATCTATTGTGTCATTTTATGGCAAGTTTTTTTTTCTCTCTTCCCATCCAAAACTTTTTTCCCACTTAGTACATGAAGGATGAGTGAAAAGATGTATTTTCTGTTGCTCTAACTGCTCTATAACAGCTATACTTCACTAAAATCAAAATGTTCAGAATGTAATATAAAATTGACATTTTCAGGCGGGAACCTTGTATTATAACTTTTAAATGAACTCTAATTAATTAAAAATAAATTCAATGTGAACTTTGTAGTTGGAAATCAATAGCTCTTCCTGACATTTTTTTTTTTCATTACATATTTTGCCATAAACCACAAACGGGTGTGAATGACAATCAATAAAGATGATAAATATGAATGTTACTAACAATGGGGATTTGAGTTTTTGGTCCACCAGTCAAGATGCATGTTAAAGGTTGAATATGGAGCATGAACACATACAACATCCATAGAGGTAAATGCAACAATAGACCAAGGCTTCCAGTCGTCAGGATGCCAGGTTTGCTGCCCATAGGTGACATGACCAGCCAGCATCCAGCAACGAATCGTACAAAATAAGGTCAAATTTTACTACTAAGTTTATTTTACAACAATATTTAATGTTAGAGCATCTTCTGGGCCCAGAAGTAGCTGCTTGACTTGACAAGCCAGCCATTTTCCACAGTTTTAGCCTCGTTGTGCCAAGCGGACTGTTTACCGCAATGGTGCCCCCTATTGGCTGTAAGCAAAAACCTGCTGTGTCTGGTAAAATAAATATTTGATTGTTTATTTAAAATCTACCTTTTAAAGGAAATTATGTACTTTCATTCTGCACACCTCTAAACACCCTGTGGAGGTATTATGTTTATTTATTTTTTAATTATTGTTACATTGTTCCATATTCAACCTTTAAATTTAAACATAAATGTGGTGTTTACTAAATTGTATGGCTTTGGATCACAAATAAAAAAAAAAAAAAAAGCAGAGCCTTTATTTCATGACAACATTTTTCAACAATTGTTCAGTTATCCGTGTGCAGGAACCAGGGACAAGGCCACATGGACTATAGTTAAACACACTCAATCAATCATACAATCAAAGAGACTGGGTTCTTGTTTTTCAGCCTGAGAATGCATGCTAAATTATTTATAATATATAATTATTATATTTATATTTGCATCTTACTCTTAATTTTAACACTGTTATTTGGGTTTGTTCAATGATTAGACAAACCGATATCATGTTCTCCATTAAACTGTAAATGTGGTGAAAAACTTACTTTATATTTTTGTACTTTCATGAAAAAATGTGACAAAATTTGGCAGTAATTCATTTGACATATTACAGCATAAGCTATGAGGTGCTGATTGTGAAATTAAGCATTAAATCTGAACAGAGGGGTCGTCAAATTTTACAGTCAGTGTTTCTGGAGGATAACATTTAAAAGATATTTCTAACAATTATTGAGGAAAAACTAAAATGAAACATATGTTTATAATGATGGAATTTACATTAGGATTATAAAATAAACCACTGACTGTTTTGTAAAAACACTTCAATCTACCATTTGTGCAGAGTGGCACATTTACAGGACAGATGAAAGCTACATTAAATTCCAAATAAATGTAATGTTCTGTGTCCCTGTGGTCCCCAGCCCCCTCCAGGTTCCCTCATGTGTCCTCTAATCTTCTGTGCCCCTTTTGGTCCCCAGCTTCTCCAGGTTTCCCTCTAGTCACTCACTTACCGCTAGTTTTCTGTTATTTTAGATGATCTAGTTCATATCTCCCTTTAGTGTATTGTGTTCCCTCCCCAGCTATGATCCCCTCCTGCCTTCCAGTAGTTCTGTCACTCTGAGGTCATTCGTTTATTTATCTTGAGTCTTATTTCTACAGTATTTAGGCAAATTTACGTTCGGTAGCTTTGTCTTACAGATTTTAGGTCTGGTTTCCTCACCTGCCCTGTTCTGCTCCTCCTCTCAGTTATCAATCTCACCTGTGCCCAATTCCCTTAATCACTCAGCCCCTGTGTATAAAACCCTGTCTTGTCCCTCAGTGTTTGTCGATCCATTGTCGATGTCAGTGTTGTTCTGTTCCCCCTCGTGAAACTCTAGGTTTTGCTCATCAAGGAGCCTTTTGTTTTTGTCAGTCAGGTTACTGACTTTAGGCTTGGCTTCCTGCCCCTTTGGAACTCACTCATCATCCAAAATAAAGGAGTTTTCATTTATGCGACTGCTCCTGCAATGAGTGATTCTAGTGTTCTGCATTTTGGGTCAATCCTCCTCCTCCTCAACATGACAATAAATGGATTATAGTCTCAGAGGGAAAGTTCACAACTGGTTATAGCTATTTGACTAATGGGAAAAAGTTAATCCAAACAGAAAGTGAAAAATCAGAACTTCAGATAATTAAACATGGAGTTCCACAAGGCTCAGCACTGGGACCAAAGAGTTTTACTCTGCATTTTCATGACATTTGTGAAGTTTTAAAACTATCACAACTCATTTTGTATGTGTACGATTCAGTTCTGGGATTTATTTAAAAATTAAAACATTTGTGAGATGTTGAATATATTATGGTGAATTTGAATATTTAGAATCAATGTGAAATATATCTCAAATTAAATTTAAAGCATAAAAGTGGCCATTTTAAACTAAATATTTAGCTAACATGATTTCAAAAGAGTGAAAAAGTAGATAACCAAAAAAGAGCTAAAAGGATGAGCTCTTTATTAGATCTCAAAATTTCGTTGGTGGGTGTTACTGCTTGTGTGAGAACCCAAACAGAATTACACAATCTCTAGTCAACGTTTGTAAGCCGATCTCTTAGCTGACTTTTATTTTGGTAGGGTGCTTCAGTTTCAAAGTTTAGATTTGAATTTTGCATGTTTTAAAACCGCGTTTGTATGGTTTAATTTTTTATATTTACCTTACATTTATAATGGATTTGTGTTTTAAATGAAAGACTAATGTTGTAAATGTAAATAAACGTGGCTAAAAGGTGACGGTCCTTTCTTTTCTTTCTTTCTTTCTTTCTTTTTTTTTACCAGCAGCTGAACGAGACAAAGGCAGCTGTTAATTCCAGCCGGCGCCCCATGTGTCCTTGGTCCAAGCAGCAGCGGCGCAGACACACAGGCTCCAGAAACTGAGCTTTAAAAAAATATAGTGGAATTCACCTTTAGGGCCTACCTCATGGGTATTTTGACTCTCAGGTAGCGATCGATGGCGATGGCCAGCAGCGCAAGGATGGAACTTTGCGTGAGGACGAGCACCGTGCAGGCGAACAGCAGACAGCTGTAGAAGTGCGTCCTGAGTTCGATGCTGATGGTGATGGCGAGCGGGATGACAAGAGCCCCGACCGCAATGTCAGCCAAGGCCAGCGAAACGATGAAGCAGAAGGTGGTGTCTCTCAGAGCGCGGTTGATGCGCACAGCCCAGACCACCATCACGTTCCCGATTACCGAGGACACGGCGATCACCACCTCCATACCGATGTAGAGAGCCGTGGACAGATCCGGAGTCATGGTAGGTCCTTGACGCGTTTGTGTGTGCGCGCGCTATGATCGGCCAGAACACATCGATGGAGCTCCCTGTTTGAGTTTGGGGGCATCGACTGAGACACCCGCACTCTGGGTTCGCATTTTCCTCTCTTTTTCTGGGTTCACGCGTGTTTATATAGCCTGTCTGGATGCGCGCAAAACTTCACCGGTTTCCCGAGAATGGACGTGTCCCGACCAATCCCACCCAGCTGTTAGAGAGAGGCCGGATGAAACCGGGACACCGGATGACTCACGAGCAGCGGCAGGGAGAGTATCAACACATCCTCATGTGTCCAAGCCTGGTTCAAACGCAGCACAAAGTCAAAAATGGTGTGTTCCAGGAAAGATCTGAGTCATTTGGATAAATGCGCCATCAGTCCAGAATAAGCTGAGTTCATAAATTGAAAAATATCATCTTGCTTCTGGGAATTGATTGCGGTAAAAATAAAATTATGACGATCTGAGGAGATTCTGGATATAATTAGTTTTCATCTCCTCTCTGCAAAGTCGAATGTGTGACTGAGAGCTCACCCTGGTGTGGGAGTGGACTCTGAGTACAGGGAGGAGACTTCCAGATCCAAATGGCAGGTAGCCTACACCTCTCACTGAGATCTCCTCATCCTGTCAGAGACTATCAGCTCTGGAAAAAGTGAGTTTATGTAGTGGAACAAGCGGAAATAAAATAATTCTGTGAGGCTTTTATACTCTGGAGCAGGAGACAAACAGAGCTATGTGCAAATAACAATGTAAGACGTGATTTCTTGGAAAACCAGCTGTTTCAACACAAATGCACAATAGTAATAATTTCCAGATAAGCTGCAGATGTTTGAACTTGAAGCAAACACATGCTGAAACACATCTCCAGTGTGAATTAGACTTTCTGCTCAGACAACCTGCTAACTGATCAAAGATGATCAGCGTCATGAACTTCTTCCTCTCACCTTGAGCAAAGCAAGGATCCTTCCGCTGAGAATGACTCGTCAGGCTTCACCCTCAACCATTCATGGATCTCACCTTCTCACTGAGTTACGCGTTGATCGTTGTCCACCACTCAAGGGGAAATGACCAGAGAGTTTCTCAGGAGACCCTGAACTCAAAGAGACACCTTCTCTTTCTCAACATGATGAAACTTCTGCTGTTTGAGTCTTATCTCCTCATAGCTGTGAAGATTCTAAGGAGATGTTAAGCTGAGTAAGTGTGCAACTTTGTCACAGGTCGTGTCAGCTGTCATTTTTATAGCTACTGACAGGTTTTCTAAAGGAAAAGTGAACAGACCTCTATTGAGGTCATTATAGATATTCATTTCAGACTGGTAATGTTTAAAGGAATGATTGCACTTACTCGTCATCTGTGATTCAGTGATCAGTGGTTTTGGTCTTTGCAGAAGCTCTGTGGAAACCAGACCACATCTGTTCAACACTTGGTGTGAACAAGGGGTTCAATTTTCCCTCAGCTCTCCAGACACGCCCTCTGTTCAGACAGCATTATTCAGACATGAGCCACGCCTGCTTCCCCGTCTCGCAGCTTTTCGGTTTTCTGGACTCCATGGACCCATGCACTGTTTCTCAATCATCAAATCTTGTCTCATTCTTCTTAAAAATGTAAAGTTCAACCTTCAACTGCATGTTTGGATTTTTGTCAGTGTCTGTGATGTCCACAGAGAAATATACAGACTCAGGAGTGACCATGGGGCAGCCTTTGTCTCAGATATGTAAAGCCAACCAAGAAGTGAATTTTTTGTAACTCTTCCGTTTAGGTGTATTTAAATGTTTGAAATGATGAATAATTAGATTTGATTGACAGGTGGCATGAGTGTTAACAGTAGCGGCTAGCTCCGGGTGTTAAAATGTTCAGCTATTTTGATTCTCTGAACTTTGAGTCTGTCCTCTGTGTGTTCATGTTCAGATGTTAATCATAGAATTATTTGACAAAGACATTAAGCTGTGTCTCCGACTGCTGCGAAGGAGCGAAGCGGGGGCTTGCACGCTTTCGACTGCTGCGGTCTGAGGCTGTGTTTGTTGCATGTGGAGCTCTCTGAGGGAGATCACAGAAACTGCAGTTTGGTGAGTTGATGCAGTGGCGTGTCCAGATCTTTTAAAATGGGGTGGCCCAGGTGAGGCACAACTTTGTGCATGGGTGGCACCAATGGTTATGCTTTTTTTTTGTTTTACCCCCAAGCCTTTTGTGGATAATGAAAAGCCCATTTAAAGGTAAATTAGTGTGGTGGCACCTGGGGTGGCCAATTAGATTCCAAGGGTGGCATGTGCTACCCCAGGCCACCCCCTGGACACGCCCCTGAGTTGATTTATGCTTCGCGTTAGAGTCCCGTAACTGCATTTTTCTGGCTAAATGCACCAGCAATCCTCCATTAGCTTCAATTAGCTCGGTTAGCTTGTAGCTGGGAGCAATGGCAAAATAAGATCCTCAAAATTCCACTTGCAGCTCCACTACTTTGCACTTTTTTGTATTGTAGGGGAGTGTCAAGATGCACTTTGTTAGTGTTTATATAAATTTGAAAAAAGCATTTGACGTCATTGATCACTCAAGGTTACTTTGAAAATTAAGTCAGTATGGAATAAGAGGTGTGGCTCATCAATGGGTTAAAACTTATTTAGAAAAAAGGAAACAGTTTGTTCAGATAAAGGACCATACATCAAAACTATGTGATATTAATTGTGGAGTGCCACAAGGGTCGGTCCTCGGACAAAAACTGTTCATTTTGTTTATTAACGACTTGGTAAATGTATCTAAGACACTCGGTACCATTCTATTTGCAGATGATACAACACTGTTTTACTCAGGATCAAATATTGAGGAGGTGGCTAAAGTGATAAATGATGAACTGATTAAAATTAAAAACTGGTTTGATATAAATAGATTAACACTGAATCTTAATAAAACAAAATTTTATACTGTTTAATGATAAAAAGAACAGTGATGTGTCATTGGAAAAAGATGGGATTGCAAATCAGGGTAAAAGAAACTAAATTTCTTGGAGTTCTTATTGATGAAGACTTGGCATGGAAACCCCATATTAGTTACATAAAAGGTAAAATTGCCAAATCCTTAGGAGTATTACATAGAGTCAAGTTTCTACTGACTAATTCTGGTTTGTTGGCATTGTACAATTCACTAATTGTTCCATACTTGACTCATTGTGTAGAAATCTGGGGAGCAACATACAAAAACTATACACAAACCTTATTGGTTTTACAGAAAAGAGCTCTGAGAAGCATTAATTATAATGGCTGTAGAGATCCATCGAACCCATTGTTTATAAAAATATAAATTACTGAAATTTCATGATTGAAAAGACTGAAAAATCTTACAAACCACGTATAAAGCCAATTTAGGTACTCTGCCAATAAACATTCAGGGGATATTTCAAAAGAGAACTAGTAATTACATGCTGAAAGAAACTGATGTGTTTACAAAACCTAGATTTAGAACTAAAATTAAGGAATGGAATATATCTGTAAATGGTGTTAAATTATGGAGTCACCTTAAAAGGGAAATTAAAAAAAACTCTGTCATTTAATTTATTCAAAACATGTACCAAACTGAGTGTAGTAAATAATTATGAAAATGTAAATTAAATCAATGATCATGATCACACTGGAATTAAGAACAGGAAAAAGTTTAAAATGAATCTGTAGGTGTGTCTGACAAATGGAAATTGTATATAAATAGATTATTTCTTCTGGAAAAGGGGGCAGGAATGTGTTTTTCTTCATTCTTCTCCTTTTCGTTCAAATTTGATTTTTTGTTATGTATGTCTTATTGGTTATATGTTTAATTTGTTTGTTTTTTTTATTTTTTATTCAGTTTTATCATCATCAGCTGCACGCCCAAAAGCCTCTATGATGATGTGAGGTCATCTGCACTTCTGGTACGGAAGCATGAACACACAAACATACTTAGAGCTTTTGGAAACTATGCTGAATTCATTCTTTTCCCTTTTGTTGCAGGAACATCTTATTTCCTGCCAGACAACACCGGACCACACGGTGCACACATTACAAAGGCACGTCTGCAGAAGAATAGAGTCCAGTCTGCAGTGTTGGTTTGTCCTGAAAAGAAAATGTGGGAGGCTTTCAAACACATATGAATTAAATAAATGAAACAGTCCATGGGTTTGCTGGGAAAAAGGGACAAAAACATTTCATTTCCTTCTTTCTAAACAAAAATTTATTGTAAGAACTTTTTGGGAACGTGTTACAAGTCTGAAAATAGCCTCAAATACAGAAATAGCTGGAAATCAACACAAAACCTCACCAAGATCAAATGTAAAAGGCATTTTGGTTTAATAATTAAAACAAAGTCAAGAAAAGAAATGTGACTAATTTTTTACAACTTGTGTTGCTTTTAACATTTCTTGTTTTTAGCAGTTGCATTTGCTTTGAGATGGAGCTCAGAAAAGTAAAATTACTATAATTAGATTTTCATACAGATTATAATCTGGCCTGTTGTGTGTTTTATGGAGACAAACTCTGCTTGGCAAGACAGGAATACTTTATTGCTGCATTTCCATTTTTCCAAACTGAAAACACAATTACAACAATCGTACTGTTTGACGAAATGTGTTGAGGTAATAACTTCAGAAGAGCTCACTCGACTGAAGTTTCACCCAATTTGATTTTTGTTTCTAACTAATAAAAAGAGGGGGATAAAGATTATATTATATCCTCTTTGAGATCTTAATAATAATAATACATCAAACTTATATAGCGCTTTTTAGGACACTCAAAAACATTTTTGTGCACTCTCACATTCACACACTGCCAGAGATGGTAAGCTACTCTGTAGCCACAGCCACCGTAGGGCGGTCTGACAGAGGTGAGGCTGCCATTTGGCGCCGTCGTCCCCTCTGACTACAGTCAACACAGGCAAGTTGGGTGAAGAATCTTGCCCAAGGACACAACAGCAGAGTACCACTGGCGGGAGCTGGAATCAAGCCCATGACCTTCAGATCATGAAGCTACCTGCTCTACCTCCTGAGCTACTGCTGTCCTTATGCGTCTTGCATTTTTATTACATGATTAAGTGCAGGATTTATCCATCCATTCATTTTCCATTTTGCATCCAAGGTTGCAGAGGTAACAGGGCCAGGAGCAAAGCCAAGTTGTCCCCTGCCTGAGCTGAGGAGCAGCAGCAGCTCCAGTCTGAGTCATACCTCCTCACCTGTAAGGCTGACTCTACAGGGGTCGTGTGTAACAGGATCATACCACCCCAGGATTGTTGGAAAACAGAATTTGAAACAAGATCTGTGATGATTTCCCCTTAACCCTCCCACTGTCCTAATGGGTGGGACCCCGCGAGGAAAGTTGACCATTGAGCAGGGTTGATGGTTTATCCCTTGAGGTCCATGTGGCAGGGGTGAGGAGTGAGCACCACCGCATCTAGAACATTTTAGTGTTTTGGTTGATACCTTTAACATGTTAAGTACATTGATTGATATATATATATACTTATAAAGTGTATAATTGGGTCTTTACAAATGCAATCTTTCTGTTTCTATGCCTTTTATGACGTGTTCCTGTAAACTTGATTAAATCTAGAGTCTAGGTCTAAAAACGTCTTTGTACTGCCCCCTATGGGTTGAACTGTGGCTACTGCATTTTAAACTTGGAATTAACTGGGGCTGGTACAGTCTCCTCCCACTCCCCCTCCCTCCCAGGATGGAAATGCCCCACACTTGGCCATGCCACTCTGACCTCCTGACAACACCCACTTTCATAGCATTTTTCAAATCTTGACTGGGGTGGAGTTACATTTTCTGATGGTGTGCAGTCCCTCTTTACAGTTATAGTAGTTTCCTGGCGTTAGGGGGCAGTACATACATTTCAGGGAAGTTTTACACTCTATCGCCGTGACTGTCGCTAATTTAAAAAAACATGACGGTAAATATTGTTACCTGTGGAGCAGAAAGCATGCAACCTCAGTGTGGCTGCTCTTTGATGCCCCTTCAGTTAAGTCCATCGAGAGAATGCAATGCTGATTGTAGTTGTAGTTCTGCTTGGGGTCCTGCAGCTGCCGATGACATCATCATAGTATGGCAATACCACTCAGCCAAAATCAGTTTCATCTCTTTTTCGATTCAGTTCTTTCACATATGTTTTGGAAAGAGTTTAGCAGTTTTGTTATTAAATTCGTGTTACTAAATTCTTACTACCTAAATGTTTTCAAATGTGGTAACGCTGCAAAGTCGTGTGTCAGCCAATCATCTAGTATGACGTCATTGACGGGCACAGGAACCCTAGCCAGCCAAAAGAAAACATGACATTTAAGATGGCGTGTGCCAAAAGCACTAGACCTGTGCCCTATGTTCTTTAGTCCTGATTTTTATGGTTACATTTTACACCAATATTTGTCAGCCACTGGACATCATTTTATTCATTTTAAACAACATTTGAATGGATATTTCCAGAGATTAAAGGTAAAAATTACAGATTGTCACTTTAAAACTTAAGCACGGGTCACGTTTTATTTTCCATAGTGTAAACATTGTTTTCCTACACCTGTGATTTACAGCCCCACTGCTGTAGGCTGTGTGTAAGTGAACAGGTCATGCACATTTACTTTTACTCGGTGAAATATTCTCCCATATTTAAAGGATTTTATCACCGCTGGAACGTCTTTATACTCATGATTAATGACTGTGTTTTATACAGTCGTGACCTTCTGCACAAAATGTGACAAATGCAGTACTAGAACTGAAAAAGACTAACAATTCTTCATATGATAACATATTTTTTCACTTTGAAGTGCAGCACTGCGTGAGCTTTAACAGGAAAGGACTTTTTAGTTGATTTTTATCTCTTGCTCAGTGCTGCACGGGTTATGTTTCATAATGTGGAAACGTGCAAAAATGCTCAGAGACAGTCCATTCAGTTTCTCTGATGTTCCAGATATTTTGTAGTTTGTGTTGAATTATACCGAAGAGCAGTTCTATTTCTGTTCAAGGACAAATGAGAAAGACAAGTGTTTTTACACTATGTACGGCTGCAGGTTGGCAGCGCCTGTCTGCATTTGTGATCCCACAGGTGGAGGTAAATGTAACGAGAGGAGGACGAAAACAAAACAAGAAGGAACTGATTCTGTTCTGCTCGACTCTGTGCTCTGAACCTGCCACAGGATGAGATGTGACTCGTCACAACAGAGACACTAAATGCTGTTTGTGTAATTTCCTATAGCTTTGCCTATATGTGATCCCTGCAAACAGTCAACGTCGCATGGACGCGCAGATCATGTCTATAGATTGAGTCTGTTGGTCCAGACGTCTGTAGGACGTCCTAACTAGGTCTTTGCACAGTGGGATGTGCCAACCTCTGCTCATTGATGGTGTCAAAGGTGAAAGGTCATCAGCTTTATCCAGAAATGTAGGGCTCTTTGTGTGTTCATCCAAAAGTTTAACTAACAAAACTGATATGTAACTGACTTAAGCTAATGCAAGTAACAATAGATTCTTAAGTCAACATCTGCCTATTCATGTGTAAGCTTTCCGCTGATTCTTTTGTGAGCAGAAGCTAGGTTCTAATTTATTACTGGCAATAAATAAATATATAAATAAATAAACAATCACCATATCCTTTCATGTAATTTCAAGCAGAATATTTTCAAAGTAGCCATTAGCATTGCAGGTGCTGGCATAAGAAGTTGGGACTTTTCTTTAGTTTTTCTTAGTGTTGTCTGAGCTTAAAACTTAACCTAAATTTTGACCAGTAAAAAAAGATATTGGATGGTTTTAGCACAAATTAGAGTTTTAGATGTTGTAAACTAGATCAGAAAACCAAGGTGGGCACTAAATGATTAAAGTCACTCTGCTGTCAGAAGAGCTAATTTGTTAGGACCAAGAATGGCTACGTTCAAGCTGATGGAAAGGTTACCACTTGTCTATTTCAAAAGAAACATAACACAAGCCAGATAGGATATATATATATATACATATACATATACATATACATATATATATAGTTGTTGATTGGCTCTGTTAGAATTCTCAGGGGTGGGGTTATTTGCATGGGAGAGTTACCAGACTCATTCTCTGAGCAGAATTAAACAGAGGATGAGTCTGGCAAGTCAGGCTAATCACTTGGTATTGCCACATCAACCACAGAGAGCTGTCCTCTGTTGTTTGTCCATCATCACAAGGTCTGATTGGTTCAGCATCACCATGTTGTCAGTTTGGATCTGGAAGTCCCACAGGAGCTTGGCTCTCTCATTCTCAACCACCTTAGAGGATGTGTCCCACTTTGACCTTGGGGCTTCCAGTTCGTACTCTGCACAGATATTTCTGTACACGATACCAGCCACTTGGTTCTGGCGATCCATGTATGCTTTCCCTGCCAGCATCTTACACCCTGCAGTTATGTGGTGGATTTTCTCAGAGGCCTCTTTGCACATCCTACACTTTGGGTCTTGTCTGGTGTGGTAGATCTTGGCCTCTGTTGTTCAAGGCCTGTTCCTGTGCAGCCAAGATGAGTGCCTCTGTGCTGTCCTTCAGACCAGCTCTTTATAGCCATTGGTATGATTTCTTAATATCAGCTACTTCAGATATCTGTTGGTTGTACATCTCATGTAGAAGTTTGTCTTCCCACGATGGTATTTCCAACATATGGATCTTGGATGTTTCATCATGGACAGTGGCTCTCACAGTCACTAGTCCTCTGCCTCCTACCTTACGGCTAGTGTGCAGCCTCAGGGTGCTGGACTTGGGATGGAACTCTCCTTGCATGGTTAGGAGCTTCTGGGTCTTAACATCTGTGGTCTGTATTTCTTCCTTTGGCCAGCTTATAATTCCTGCAGGATATCTGATTACTTTCAGAGCAGAGCTGTTTATTGCCTATATCTTATTCTTGCCATTGAACTGACTTCTTAGGATTTGCCTTACTCGTTGTAGGTATTTGGCTGTGGCTCCTTTCCTTGCAGCTTCATCAAGGTTGCCATTTGCTTGTGGGATATCGAGGTACTTGTAGCTGTTCTCAAAGTCTGCTACTATCCCTTTCTTTGTCACCATCCAACCACACTTCTCAAGTCTGATTGACATTCCGATATCAGTGCTGTAGATCCTGGTGGTGTGGACTGAGTTTGCAATGAACACTCTCAGAGTCCTGTTGATGTTGTGCATCTTCAAGCATTCAGTGATCCATGAGTGTGGCACTGAGTCATAGGCTTTCTTGTAATCAATCCAGGCCGTGCACAGGTTAGTGTGTCGGGCTTTGCAGTCTTAAGCCGGGCATACACTGCGACTTTTTCACTTTTTTGAGCCGATTTTCCACTCGTGCGAGAATCCACGAGATCGGGGTGAGTTTTGCGCCGAGCATCGTGTAGTGTACAGGGGCTTACGAGAGGCGATTAACACAGCATGACAAGCTACCGATCAGCAATCGTGAGCTCGCACAAACTTCTGGCGTGTTTAATATTTTGCTCGTCCCTCGTGAGGGTATCGCACTGTTGAAGCGGCGCTGTGAGCAGCTGCCACCCAAAAAGTATCAGAACCACTCACGGCGCATGCGCAATCATGCATCAACACCGCTCGCCCGCTATTTCCCTAATAACACACATTGTTCATTTTTGTTTCTACACGTTTTTTACTCACAAAGATTGTCAAGAAAGCGTGTTTGTCGTGTTCATGTCAAATCAAACTGATCACAAAACACAGATTTACTTTCTTTATTTCGTTTTCCTCATCCAACCCCATAAATCCCTGTGCGTCCTCCTGCAGCACTCCCAAAGGACAACAGGCAAAACAAGACAAAAAAGTCTGACGTGTTGAGTAAAAACTGTTATTTTTAGCATATTTAAGGTCCGACGTGTTGCTACTAGGGCCTGCACGACTTTATTTTTTTTAAAGTCGACAGTCAAGTAATGAAAGTCGAGTTGACTTCGACTAGTCGTTGATGACGTCATACGCCGGAGGCGGCGGGGGGGTCGGTCGGTAGGTTCGCTGGAATTTTTTGACAATTAAAATTGCGCCCACATTTTCTAAGTTAAACACATCTCTTTTAACAACGGTAGTTTCTGCATCCTACTTCAGCCCTCTCCCCCTGCGTAGCAGCCGCAAACTCACTGATGCGCCTGCAGCCTCTCGGGGTTCCTGCTGCTCTAAACATTAAAATAATTATTTCATTTTCTGTTCCTCACTTCTGATTACCTTCAATGGTGTCTGTTTGTTGCAACCAGCAGGTACAAAAACTAACTTGTTTATATTTGACTATTTTTCTGTCCTGCCTGTTTATTATCTTCCTGCATCTCCTCTCAATCCTAAAGAGAAACTGCTACCTGGGTTCATATATATTCACCTTATGAGTTACCTTTGAACTGCAGTTCTAAAAGATCTACCGACCGCAAAAACAGCGGAGTGCCGCTGCTCGCCGGCCGACTACAACGGGACCGTTTTTGCTGCGGAGTTCGTGCCGGAGCGGAGCGGAGATGGAATCTTGGGGGCGCGTCACCGGAGGACAACAGGTGATGCGCATCGCTCCGCAGCAGCGAAATGCATCAGGCACAAATAACAGACAGAAAACATGAAAGGAAATGAGCCGACATGAACGATCGCGTGTTTAATTTGTTTTTGAGGTGGTGATACCTGATTTGGCGGTGCTCAGGACGCAATGTCTGGAGCGCATGTCAGTGATCAGAGCTTTGCATGCACAAACTGGTTAAGATTAGGATGGGGGTGAGGGGAAGGTTAAATTGCAAGAGCGAAAAGGTCACAGTTTGGTTAAATGTCCGTTTTACCGCCGGTGTCAGTACCGCACAGCGCATCGCCTCCGCCTCGATCCAGACGCGCAGGGGCTCGTCACCTGCTGTCTTTTCCGAGGACTGCATCTTGTCAGTCATTATCACGTGACAGCGACTAGTTGATGACAGGCAATAAAAGTCACTACAGAGCCGTGAAGTCGACTAGTCGACTAGTCGACTATTTCGTACAACCCCTAGTTGCTACCAGACATACAGTGTGAGCAGTCAGATCGCATCCGAGAACTGGGTCGTGCAATGTGAGCGCATGACTCGTGAGATCTGCCCTGCGAGGAAGTCGTACAGTTTGAGCTGAAGCTGAGTGCTATGAGTGAAAAAGTCGCACAGTGTCCGCCCAGCTTTAGGTGATTGTTTGGTCTATCAGCAGCTGGTGTTTGGCTCCTCTGGGATCTCTGCCAATGCCCTTCTGTGCTGTGCTCATGTATTGATCCATGTGCCCACTTATCTTAGTCGCTATGATGCCGATCCAGTACTGTTCAGTCTCCAGCCTTGGTGGGTTTTCTCTGCTGTTATTACCCTGCCACTGAGAATACACTTAAACTGGTTGGGTGAAAAAGAGCCAGATTATTTGCTTGTTAGCTTGAAAAATTGACTCGATGTAACAAAACAGACTTGTCTTGAGGAGACATGACTTCCTACTTAGCTGGATATGAAATGGAACAAGTCGTGAGCTACCTGAGACTTGTTAGCTGCATGAGACTTGTAGATGATCTGGTGTCAAAGCTGTGGCTGCATGGAGTCTAAAGGAGGAGGTGGAGATAGTCAAGTCCCAGGTGAACATGGTTGCTTGATTAGCTACAGAGAGGCATGGAAATAGTCCGAAATAATGACCCAAGGTTCCTGCCTGAAAGCAATAATGGCTTTTTGTTAACTTTTCCTTGCTTTCATTGTCATCATAAATGTTTTGTATCAAGCAGCAGCTTGTGGCCTCAGATGATTTTCCCTGTGGGACAATAAAACATATTCTCTCTTTGTCAGCCTGACACTCTGTGAGTCCACAGTCATTAGACTGAAAGGCTGACATCATCCTAACCGAGTGTGACTTTTCAACACGGCAATGCAATCATGGAGAGCTTATGGAGATCAAACCAGAGAAACTATCATAGATATACATACATACACACACACACACACACACACACACACACACACACACACACACACACACACACACACACACACACACACATATATATATATATATACACACACACACACACACATTATTGTTTGTAATAATAACAAAACACTGAATTTATAAGTATTGGTGCTCCACAAGTATTTTAGTATTGTTCATGTTGATTCTTGCTTTAACCAGTCGTTGCTGCTGGAGAAGTGGGCAGAAGGTAACAGATTTAATGGCCGTGTCTTAACCTGTAATCTGATTTTCTGAAATGTCAATACAGATCAAATCAAAGTAACACTTTTTGTCTCTCCTCCCAAAAGAGAAATTATAAACTAGAAATGAGCCCATGTGAACTCCCTGAATGTGTCCCAGCTCCCTGTGAGCCTCATTGTGTTGACTCTGTGGTGGCTGTTGGAGCGTGATGATTTAGGGAGAGAACGTGCAATTTCTCATCAACGCTCTCCAGCTCTAAATGGAGGGAATTGTTTTCTTTACGACCAGGGTGAGCCTCATGACGAGCAATTCATTCGCTGAAGCTCAAGGATGAAAAACTTTGTGAGCTGTTTGAGATTTCTGCAAATTGAGAAGCGTTCCTGCAGCTACACAAGTGTCAAAGCAGTATATTGCTCATTTCAGGAGGCACAATATTTAAACCAATCAATCAGTAAATGTTTGGGTTCAATTGTTAGTTTACAATTTTTTATGCATGCAGCATGAAATAGAAATTTATACAGCTTGATCAGAGGTTAAAAAAAGTTAAGGAACAACAAAAATCTACAAAAATGCTGCAACAGCTAGCTATAAACGGAGCAGAGAGCTCATTTAGAAAAAAGAACACATTATATGAAGAAATGGGTCAAACACAAAATGAACACTTGTTAGAAGTTTATAAGGAAAAGCTTTTCTCCAGAAATGCATAAAAGGTCTGAGATCGTGTAGAGAAGAAATAGACAGCTGGATATACGGCAGGTTGTCCCTATGATTTGACCCTCTTCTTCGTCTGAGGAGGAAGATCTCTGGTCACAGCTAATGTGGATCCTCTGAA